TTAACCAGGTGGTGACTCCAATTGCAGCTGCTGTACCAGATGTGGTTTCCCTGCTTGAGCTGATTACTGCCTCCCATGGTACCCAGTATGAAGCTATCCCTCTGGCAAAATCTTTCTCCATACCTGTCAGCAAAGACCCACCGGAATCAGCTTGCTTTCAACTGGCAAAACCAGCAAGGCACCTTCACTGTCCTATCCCAGGAGTACATCAACTCCCCAGCCCTGAGTCCTAATTTCTTTCACAGCGAACTTGATGGCCTTTCCCTTTCACAAGACATCATCTGGCCTATTGCATCGATGACATTATACTGACTGGACCTAGTGAACAAGAAGTAGCAAGGACTCTAGACTTACTAGTAAGACATTTATGTGTCAGAACATGGGAAATAAATCAAACAAAAATTCAGGGGCCTTCTCCCTCAGGGAAATATCTATGGGTCCAGAGGTGAGTGGCATATCAATCTACCTCTTCTAAGGTGAAGGATGAGTTGTTGGATCCCATCCCTCCTACAACGCTGCTCCTCTTTCTTCTCCCCATGGACCCAACTCCCAGAACTCCAGCCATACACACCGCTGCCACCCAAGGGCACACAGAGTGTAACTTACTGGAGACAATACATACTGATATACATCCCATGAAATCTGAGTTTGGTGACATTTCATTGAGGGAAGAGGAATGTGCAGTGTACTTAGAGCAACAGAGATTGGGATCTCACAGAGCTGGAATACGATGGAGTATTAACATGATATGTGATCCATGTAAATATGTCTTCAGATTGATGTTGAATAAACACACAGAAGCGGCTTGGCATAGTAACTCTGCCTTCTACACTTCCCTCCTTGTCCACCAGAGGACAGCATAGCTACTCTGCAGCCTGGAGCCTGGGTGCGGGGTGGCTGCTGATCCCCCTTAGCAAGCCCACACCCCAGCAGGGTCTGACCCTCTCAAGCCTCACTCAATTACAGTCCTCTTCCTTGCTCTCCAGGATCCCACACTGAATTCCGTCAGCCCCTCCGGCCAGCCAGGTCTGCCCCCTGAGACCGATCCCTCTGTAGGCAGCTCATCCCTCCACACCCTCTGTCCTTGGAGGGGCTAAGCCCCAGTCACACTTATGGTCTCAGCCAAAAGATCACTTTGTCTGGAGTGTTCCGTGTGACTGCCTCCCAACCAGCTGAGACCCCGTTACATGCTCCTGTCACACCCTTCATGGACCTTTTCTCCATTTTATTTCATTTTATACTAGAAATAGAGAAAGTGGGTAAGGGGCAGAGGGGGAGAGAGAGAGAAAGAGAGAGAGAGAGAGAGAAGATCCCAAGCAGGCTTCACGCTCAGCAGTGAGCCGACAAGAGGCTCAATCTCGCCTCAGAGAGATCATGACCTGAGCTGAAATCAAGAGTCAGACACTAAACCAACTGAATGACCCAGGCACCCCCCCCTTCTTTCCATTTTAACTGAGCCCTCAAAGCCATGATTTTCTGAGTGCCTGTGGCACTCTTAACAGGGTCCATGTCTGTCCTGTTCTCTGTGAAGTCCCAGCACCCAGCCCAGTGCCTGACACATAAATACTCATTATATGCATGAGGGAGATCACACAATGGAAGTATGTCACCCCGATATGTAGTTTCTGGGGTCGGAGCCTCTTCTCTGTAGACCCAGTGGCACTGGCATCAGCATGGGAGAGGCCAGCAAGTGCCCCAGGCTCTTGCTTTAAGGCTATTGGGCCTTTATCCCTCCCAGATTCAGGAGGGAGGACAGGGGCCTCCAACAGTGAGGGCTTGGACACCCATTCATTCCCAGAAAGCTGACGCCCCCTCCCATCTCTACCTTGTGAACAACCTGTCCCCAGAGGGCTGACCGGGCAGCCTGTGTGCTTCCTCTTCTCTCAGAGATCTGACCTGGCACCAATTCTGGATACGACCCCAGGTGGAGTTACCACCACGGGAGTTCAGAGCCCGACCCTGACCTTGTGAGAAATCAGGAATGACTCCTCATCCTGAGGGCCCCTGGGATGTGGGGATGGACACCTGCTGCAGCTCCCTGAAGATTTCTCACCGGCCCAAGGAGTTCTGGGGAATGAGGGGAACTCTCTGTGCAGGATGGGTCAGGACAACCCAGGATCTACATTTGTTTCCATCTCAGAGAGGCTGAGCATCTCCTCTCCTCTAACAGAGGAAGCCGTGGGATCCCTCAGCTGAGTCCCCAAGTGGCCTCTTTGGGGAAGCCCAGAACAAAGGCAGGGCCATGGACGACATGGATGCAGTCCCCGCCTTGCTGTGATGAGGAAACAGGGCATTGCGGTGTCCAGCTGCCGCGCCCCCCCCCCCCCGGGGCCAGTTCCTCTTGCAAATTCTCAAGAGACCTCGACTAGGTCGTTCCTTACATCTTGAGGACAGAGAGCTCCTCCTGGGGACCACATCCCTCCGGGTCGACAATTCTCCTGACTCAGGATCAGGAACCTTCTGGACAGTGCCTGTCCTCTCCCTGGGCTCACCCTGCCCTGGAATGGAGTCAGGCAGCCTAGGACCCACAGGGACTCAGACCCAGGCTGTCCAGGGGTCAGGCCCTCACATCCTTTGGAATCTGCTCAGCATCCCTGGTGCAGCCCCAGCATCACCTCCAGGGGGCGACATAGGGACATGCAGGCAACACACAGGGACTTAAAATGGGAAGCTGGCTTTGTTTGGCCAAGGAGGGAGAGGAGCCTGATTTCCATCCCTTTCTCCAACAGACCCTTCTGAGTCCTCCCACGTGGCTGTTCTGTCCTGTCTGCTCCTTCTAGGGACCTTGGAGCACCCTGATCTGTCAGGGGTCCCTGTGCAGCCCTCACTCCTCCCCTGGCACCACCCACGGGGGAGGCAGGGTGAGCACAGGAAAGTCCCCCAGCCAGACGACACGGCTGCCCAGCACGCTCAGGAGCGCACGGTCAGCCTCTCGGCCACAGTGCAGCCAGCAGACTCGTAGAGGGAGGGTCTCCCTACAACCTTCCCTGCAGGATCAGGGAACCTCCAGCCACCCGACCTCCCACCACCTCTTCTCTTCCCAGGACACACAGGAAACCCCCTTCACACCCTGAACCTGAGCACCTGAGACACTTACTCCTGGGTCTCTGTCCCTGGAAGCAGAGGCAGGGCTGGTGACACCCAGGGATGGAGACTGGGTCCCTCACCAGTCATCACCCGGCTTGGCCCCTTCCCACCCTCAGAGTCACCTCTGTGACCTTGCCGCCAGGGGTAAATCCAGCCTCCCCAGAGCACTTGAGAACACTGGGGAGCCGGTGCCCTGCTGG